TATAGTATAATATAATATAGTATATAATATAGTGATAGAATATAGTATAATATAAAGGGTAGTAGTTGGGGTGCAGGTTTGAAGGAGTTTGGAGCTCCAGGTTGCTCGTAGGGTCGTAGGGTTTAGGGACCTGCATGAACGGTAAAGTCTGGAGGGAGTTTTGGGTGTATGTGACTTTCCAAAGCTCAATGTATCAGATCATGGGGGTTGCTTGAAATCTAGCGATGTTGCATCCCAGCTTTTCGTCGAAGCCTGTCTTCAAGAAGGGGTTACTTTGGGCTGGGCTCTGCACTAGCAGTAATCAGAAGATTGGCTCAGTTACTTGGTAGAGCAGGCCCGAAGCTAACTTCCAAACTTCAAGACCCTTGCCTGCGGAGCCAAACAATGCAAACTACTAGGTTATGACACTATAAACACAGGGTGCAACACTAAGGGAGTAGGTTATTGGTTCCACGCTAAGCCTCCAAGCCAAAATATCGCAGCCGTGAAAATCATGATTATTAGGTTGCGGGCTTGGCGTCTACATGAGCAAATCCGAATTTCGTAGTCCAAACCCTGATGAGTCCTGCACGGTATCCCTGAACCCGAAGTCCCGGCACAGCCTTCATGCACAGGCTTCTGAGGGAATGATCTCGGAGGAGCGATACAACAGAAGAGTCGAAGAAGAGGCATGGCTTTTGCGCTTTAGGGCCGGGGTGGGGGCGTTTGAGAGTGTCGTAGTCCTCGTCGTCGTATCTACAACTTCTTCAGCATAAGCATAAGTTCGAGTCAGGGCTTGGTGTTTTGGGGTAGGCACTGCCAGCTGTGATGGTATGCCAATGGTTATCGCTCCCACAGCTGCCTTAGTGCCTTTGTCGTTGCCTGGTGAGGCATGCAGGGAAGTTGCCGGTCGTCGGTGGTTTGTGATTGCATTCGGGAATGTATCACAATTATTTGAGCAAGATTGCTAGCAGTCTTGGTCATTTTGCCCCACCTGCCCCACTTGAGGGGGGGGGGGGGGCAAGATGACCAAGATGACCAGTGGCGACCAAGATGACCTACCACCACCACCACCACCACCACCGCCACCGCCACCACGACCACGACCACGACCACGACGACGACGACGACTACTACTATTATTGTTATTACTGCTGCTACTACTACTACTACTACGACGACTACTACTGCTGCAGCAAACGTGACCATGGCAAAGATGTTGCCGGTTATTGTATAGGGTTTGGGTTTAGGGTTAGTTTACTGTTGTTTGCGATGAAACGGCTGTGACTGTGGTCATTGCTATATATGTGGCCATTAGTCACTATCATTAGTGCCATGTGTAGCCTTGCGCTAGTAAGACCTGATGGAGATCAGGCCATCAGCAAGCTCGAGCGGCTGGGATATCCACGTTTCCGTGGCAGCACTTATCTTCTTATGGGCTGGGTAGGCAACCTTGGCAACCTTGCATCATCATTCTGGCACATTGTATACATGTCTACAGTAATTAAGAAAGATTAACGGGTCATATGAGCCTTTGGGGCTAGGGTACCGAGCTATGACACCGGACCATTTCTCTACCTCCGGCCTTCTGCTAGGGTCTCCAATGGCGCCCGTTGATCCCCTGAGCTCCTAGAGCCCAAAAAACCTGAAAGTCCTGGAATCGATACCGGAAGCCGTATCATTTCAAGTTTTCATCTGGCAAGTCCGAGTTGTGAGCACAGAAGCTGTATCATTCTCTGGTGGTGCCTGGCGGGCCCAGTAAAGGGTCTTCATCGAGACAGCTAATAGAAAGCCACGCACCAAATCAGGACCCCCGAAACCCTATGCCCAACTCCCTCGATGCAAACACCACGATGCAAGGCGAGGAGATCGTGCGACAACTCAAGGATCCCCAGTCCCACCTTTGCAGCTTGACAAAAAGAGGGGTCTTCCTCGCTCCTGTTTCGGTTGGAGGAGCTTGGGTTGTTAAGGTTCGGCATTTGCTACGTCATGCAGCGGGAGGGGATGGGAGGTGTTTGAATTTTTTCATGTGTGTGTATATCTATATACATATATGTATATGTACATGTATAGGTATATGTATGTATATATATATATACACAGACTTACTCATGCCTGTAGGTAAGCCCTAATTGGCCCTAACTACCCTATAGGCTCTGAGGTTTCTGCAGGCCGCACTCGAGAGGAGGGTCTTGCGATTCGCCAGTCGTGCGCATGTCAGCGAGGTGTTGTATGGGGATGTGTGGTGCACAAACGGGCATAGCAGATGGAGCGAGTTGCGGGTACATGTCAGTTCCGAGCACTCTCAGCGTTGCGACCCCAAGCCCGAAACCCTGGACTAAACTCGAATACAACCAATAGAACCTCTTACTAGTAGCAGGCTGCGGTTCTTTGGCCATTGGCTTTGCTGTCGAAATACAAGGTCAGCTAAAGCCAGACGCTGAGCCCAAAGCTTGGTAAGCGCTGCCCAAGCTCACCTAGGCCCTAGGCCCATCGTTTAGGGTTTATAAGGTTGAGGGTTTAAGCTTCCCAGCTGATTGGCAGAGTCTGGGTTCAAAAAAAAGGTTTAGGGTTGTGTGTTTAGGAATTTCACTTTCGAGTCGAGAGATACCCGGGTTTCTCTGAAACTTTGGGACTGCACCAAGGCAAGCTATACCACCGCTTTCTCAAGGCCCTGACGGCATGGGATAGCCGGAAATGAGTGCAGCTGAGGCACATCCATTGGG